AAATTCTCCTCACATACACAGAAGTAGAAGAATATTTCCCCGAGTAAATCAATTTACATCATTTAGGACCATTGCTTTCTTACCAGAATGTAGAGTATAATGATCTGACATCAGCTGACTTGAACTATGCTAGCTACAAAACTCCTTCAGAGACTTTTAACAGAGCTATATTGCCAGTGGAGCAATAGTCTATGAATGGCATTTTTGAAGGGTAACTATGCTACTCCAAACAGACAGCAAGATTTCTCAAAGTTTATAACTGTTGGACATGTGCTGTACATAATATTACTAGAGTTACATGCCCATATGTTTTTGCTGAACCTGATGTTAGTTTTAAAAGTTGTCCTCCATGCTTGAAAACAATTAGAAAATTCTGCAGAAGGAAGGCTGAGAACACCAATCTTCTCCCCAGGAATGCACACAAGAATGCATAATTTCAGGTCACAAGAAAAATTTCCATTTTATTTTAAACAACAAATCTTCATTTTAACTCTTCTTCTCAAAGCTTATAGGAGAGCTAAACATCTCTAACGCTTCAAAATACTTTGGAGATCGCATTAAAAATTCAGCTTACCTCGCAGACTGGATGGAACCATGCTGTACCTGCCATAGAGACAAGTCCCCTAAAACTGTTCATCTCATACTGTACGTTTAGCTAAGCAGCCAAACATGAATCCTCTGCTATAATCCTCAATGTCCTGTTATGAGTTAAAGCACTTCTGATGACTCCGTACCTTATGTATAAGTACACAAATCACATACCTGAAAAGGCATTGCAAAGTTTAGCATTCACAGCAAAAAGCGCTTTCTTCCTAATATAATGTCATACCCGAAACATATACCATGGGCTGCTCTTCTTCAGAAACTGCATATAAATTTGTATTTTTATTTAAAGGGCCAAAGTTATACTTTTTGTTTACTTCCTTTAACAAAAATAAGCATTTTGGCCCTTAATTTTATAAAAGCAGGTGATAGGAAAACAAACTTGCCACACCAGAGAAGCATCAAGAGCAAGAAAAACTTGAAAAAAATAAAATAAAATAAAAAATAAAAATAAAAATAAATAAAAAAAAAGAGAGAGAGAAGAATGACAAAGCAAATGGTCTTATTAACGTCTTCACTGGGCATTAACTTTCATCCATCCTCAGGGCACCTTCACAAAAGGTCCCAGGGACCAGCCCCAGGTGCAAATCAATTACTAAGATACTGAAGCAATATTTATTTAAATTGGAGCAAGTTATCATTATATAGAGTCCCTTGACACATATGCATGCATCCCTTGACAAACTTCTAGGACAGCCTACATTCATGCTGCTATTAAATACTGCTTTCTGTATAGTACGTTCTAAGAAACATAAATGAGAATAAATGCAAAAGACTTTAAAGGAAGTTGGTCGGTCTCATCTGATCATCACATGATGAGTAACAGCTGAAAGCCTAAGGACTTTTTCCTTTAACAAGAGCAGAATCTGTTCTGCGGCAATTGCCAAGAAAAGCACTTCAAAAAACTTTCAGTAACCTGGCGTTTTAACTATTACTTAATTGTATCAAACTCTCAAAAAAACAGGCAGCACATCACCAAACTTGAATGCCTGCCTCCTAAGTCACTCTAAAAATAAGACTCAACACAATTCACACAATTCAAGGAAGGGTGAAGCTTTCATAGTATCTTCCTTAAAGCAATAGTTTCAGATGGACAAAATAAAGATTTTTTTTTTTTTTTATTTCCACACACACTCTATTAAACCAAGAAACCAACACAGCACATCAATTTCGCCTCCTCTGTATTTTTATACCTCTGTTTTGTATATCCTCTGTGTTTTGCTTATATTTTGCTTATTTTTGTCAGCCTTCTCAGTGTAGTCTACAAGTCCAATTACATAATTTCAGTTCTGTTGACAGTAAATCCATTTAAGATTTTATATAGTTATTTTCATACAAGTAAAGTTTGGTTGTGTAAGCATTTGAGCTGACTTACACCAATCACTTCCCCAAACCCTTATTTCAACTAATATTTTATTTTAATAGCTACACTTCAAAAAAATCATTTAGCAAGTTACCACATAGAGAATAAAATTAGCAATAGTCTAGAAGCTTTCACCTCTTGACAGCAACTTCAAATTCAATCAATACCATTATCTATCAGAAAACTGCCACTTGGCACACTGGAAATAAAAGCTCAATCACAGGCTTGCTTGCGATCATGATGGCTCCACATTATCACCTCTTAACAATCATCACTCACCAGTCTTAGTCCACAGTTTGAAAATACCTTAATGTGGGATTTCTGTCAAAGTCATTTCCCCTTCTATGCACTGTGAAACCACTTCTGATCTCACCTATAAACTGCATGCTGCAGTTTCTCCTGACTGGTCACAACAAAGTGTTTGTGGGGTCACCCTATGAACCTGATCCTAAAGCTAGAAAAACTGTGAAAGTAGAACACTGCACCCCCTTTCCCCCCAAAAAGCAACAAGATAGACTGAACCCCCAGTCTGGATCACAGCCCAGTCCAGCCAGTTGTGTCACCACAACTGTGGCAGCAACCCGCAGGATGCACAACAGAGTATCTGCAATTCTTACTACCACCAGAAACAACAATCTTTAGCACCAGCAATAACCTTCTCAACTGGCATATAGCTAATTTGTGTTGAAACACATGGCTGTAGGAAAGAAACCAGATTTGCTTAAACAACATTCAGCTTTCAAAGTCTGGCTCCACTATTACTGCTGCTGTGAATAGATATGTAGTAGCAGGATTAAGAAATACAGAGCTGTTGCTATTGCTCTCCCCCAGCTTTCTGGGTCTCCCATTAAGTTTTGCAACCTAGTGTATCAGAATAAACTAAAGTCAGATCAATACACACTTAACCAGCTAGGCTGAAAATTGCAGTGTCTCAGGAGCTCATAAATAAGTCCAAATCTTTGTCCCCAAGTAAAAGCTCATCCCTCAAGTCTCCTAGCAAGATGACTGCACACACTATATGACTACTACCAGCAAGGCAACAGTGCAGACGGTTATCACAGGCATCAGAAAACCTGAACATCTTAGGAGCCTGCACTGACTTCGCTGCAGCAAAGTACAACAAAATGGTGTGGGAGTCTGCATTGCTACCCTGTGCCAAATTCTGCAATTGTAGAAGAAATTTCAGTTTTCCAAAACTGTTAAACCAGCATTAAAAAAGTACATCCTATTATATATACGGTGCAAAAGTAAATATCAGGATATATAAACTTGACCAAGATCAGAAGCAACAAAGGTAAAACAGAAGTGTATGTCAAGATCCCTATTCCCTGGCATATCTTGAGGCACAGGGCCTCTGCTAGGCTCAAAACAGTGTGTTTAGTCATGGGAAACAACCTGCCGGCCCAGTTTTAATTGGGATAAACACAACTACAGCGTAACTATGCCAATATTTCCACAACAGGCCAGAACACTGACAGTGAAGCAAGAAATCTGATACGTGCTTACCAAATCTCATACCATTACATCACAAAGAAAGTTGTGTGCGTTTTAAACGCAAATGGGCAGTCTTTTAAACACAAATGGACAGTCTTTGTAACATGCCCCTCAAACACATTCCATTGGATAGACGGCCCATTTCACTCCTGCACTGGTTTGCAGGGAGTATGCAATCAGGCACATACACATCAGCACACGCAAACATGCCCTTCTCAGTAGCTTCTAGCTGATGCTGGAACTGCACTCCCAGTGCCAGGCAGAGTGACACCATGAGTGCCTTACAGCTACAGCTAAATCTTTAGCTCCTAAGTCTCTACAAGGCAAGACTGTCAGTCCCTAACACCTCCAAGTAGCTGAGCCTCCAGCTGAACCTCCTTCTGGTTCTTGGACCCATGTGAGCCCATCTCTCTGGCCAGGCTTCTACATCTAACAACCACCACCTACTCCAGCTACACATCCAGCCTAGTTTAGGCTCCTGCAATCAGCATTTTCAGGTTTGCTATAGACCAAGCCTCCAACTTTCAAACCCCTCCCCCGCCAGTCACTAGGTCCCCTGCAGACTCATCCCAGGACTTAAGCCTCAAAGTCGGGCCTGGACTCCAGCCACATAAGCCGCACACCTTCTGCTTGCTGCCAGCAGCTCCAGCCTCAGTTTCTGCACAGAAGTGGACCCACCTGGACCTAGCTCCCCTACAGAATTACCTCCCCACATCCTTAGGGCATGCTCAGGCAGGACACCTCTCACCTTGGGCTGGGGACTTTGTCTCCGCAGTCAAGGCAGCTAAGCCACCATCACCAAGACACAACCCACCCCTCCGCCAGAACGCGGAGCAGCTCCGGCTTCTCCCGTCTCCTCCCCAG